TGTCTTGTCTTGTCTTGTCTTGTCTTGTCGTCTTGTGTCGTGTCGTGTCGTGTCGTGTCGTGTCGTTTCTTGTCTTGTCTTGTCTTGTCTTGTCTTGTCTTGTCTTGTCTTGTCTTGTCTTGTCTTGTCTTGTGTCGTGTCGTGTCGTGTCGTGTCGTGTCGTTTCTTGTCTTGTCTTGTCTTGTCTTGTCTTGTCTTGTCTTGTCGTGTCGTGTCGTGTCGTGTCGTGTCGTGTCTTGTCTTGTCTTGTCTTGTCTTGTCTTGTCGTGTCGTTTCTTGTCTCGTCTCGTCTCGTCTCGTGTCGTGTCGTGTCTTATCGTATCTTATCGTATCATATCTTATTGTATCTTATCGTATCGTATTGTGTCTTATTGTATCTTATTGTATCATGTCTTATCTTATCGTATCTTATCTTATCGTATCTTATCGTATCTTATCTTATCGTATCTTATCTTATCGTATCTTATCTTATCGTATCTTACCTTATCTTATCGTATCGTATCTTATTGTATCTTATCTTGTCGTATCTTATCGTATCTTATCGTATCTTAGCGTATCGTATCTTAGCATTTCGTATCTTTTCGTATCTTATTGTATCGTATCTTATCGTATCTTATCTTATCGTATCTTATTGTATCTTATCATATCTTATCTTATCGTATCTTAGCGTATCATATCTTATCGTATCTTATCTTAGCGCATCTTAGCGTATCGTATCATATCTTATCGTATCTTCTCATATCATATTGTATCGTATCTTAGCTTTTCGTATCTTATCTTACATTTCATCTTTTATCTTTTATTCATATCATATCATATCTTTTTTTCCTTTTTCTTTTTCTTTTATCTTATGAGACATATCTTGATCAAAAATAACCTACACCATATTATATTTTTAAAAAGCTTTTTTTAACTGCACCAAGCTTTGTTCAGTATATTCTGTCTCAACACAATTAATCCATTTAAAGACTGGTGACAGAACTATACGATGACCAGTCAGTCATTGAGACGTGTTTCACTTTTTTGTTTCTGCACACAAAAAGGGCAGAACTGCTTAGAATGAAATATTGTGCAAAGTTGTATCTTCTGTCAGCAAACAGTCTGTTCTGGGTTGSAAACAGAGCTCAGCAACTTGCAGAAAGCTAGTTTTTTTTCCTGGGAAATGAACAAATCGATCCTCACGGGTTCGCAGGTTTTTACACTGACCTGCTTTTATTTTCTTTGGTTTTCAAAAGCTTCTTAAAAGTCCACGAAGAAAACTATTTGTTACATTTGAAATATTTCTCTTRTGAGAGCAAGACGAGAACTGTGAGAACATCCTTGACTGAATCAAATCTAATGAAATGTGTCTTAAAGCTTTATAAAAACAATACAGACCCACTCCCTGTTAGTTGATCGCTTTTATTTAAACATGTTGGTTTTATGACAACTAGAGTTAACCCAAGAGACTTTTATTTGTTCAGCGATAAAGATAAAACAAAAACACTATTTACTGTTTGCTTTACATGATGCATCCTTTGGATAAATTTAATAAAAACTGGAAGCAGGATAATTTACAGCAGTGGCAGCGCAGAGGAGAGCCAGACTCCAAAGACAACGCTGCCATTTACGGAAGCACCAGTTTACAGATCAGGGCCAATCTGAGGCCTGTCTGTGTGTCAGTGGGAGAGGAAGAGACATAAAAAATTCATTAGAAGATGGAAAGAGATGTCACATCGAATATGTAGCCAGCTGCACTGATGACCGGGGGTAGTGAGCTGTGTAAGGGTGGGGGCTGAGGGGGGGTGGGTGAACTCTCACTTGAAAAATAAATAAATAAATAAAAATATATAATTGAAGAAATGATAAATGCTACCATGAGAATGTTTTGGATTTGAAAATGCACGGGCAAACGTTATTTAAATTTCTCGGAAAACGGAAGTTTGTCGTAGAAAGTCAGAGATCTTTTCAGTTCAGAGTCTTTGAGGATTTTTGCATTAGTTTTTAATCACCCTTCCATATTAAACCCCCAGATTAACCCCCACTGTAAAGTAACAAAAAGATTAGGATTAACAACATATGGTCAGTGTGAGAAAAGAGCACAGGTATGATGAATAAAGCCAGGAATATCCGTGCTAGATAACCTCCCTCYCATCAAATATTTAAAGAGCCGAGGAGACAAAAAGCAGATTAAAATGAGAATCCACCGGGGGATTTAAAGACAGAGACAATATTGCATATAATCTGACAAAATGTGAAAGTGTCACTATAAGCACTTCTGTAACTGTTGCTTTAATGCTCTCTGTTGCCCTTTCCTCTGGAAGATGCTTTTCATGCAAAAAAATGCATTACAAATCATAAAACTAAAGCTYGGTTATGTTAAGTTAGCAGCCACACAACAAAAACCACAAACGTGATGATTTTTTYCCCTTTTTAAATAGCCACAAACATGATGATTAAAGCAACATGTATATCCTCCAAATACAAAATGTCAAAGAAAACATCTTCGTATTTAAACTMGTCATAATACATATGATTTTTACCCATTTTGTCACATAACTGGCATATTTTCATTTGAATTTGGCTCAACCACAGTGAACAGGAAGTGACATCAAGGGAACTCTTTAAGAATAAAAACTCTGATCTTTGTTAATTGAAACAATCTTATTTGAACTCTGACTTCGCTTCATTTTTGTCTGATGGCTCAAAAATAATCTAAAGAAACATTTTTTTCTCTACAGTCTGTGTTGTTGGCTGTTGGAGCAACGCTCTGCCCACATGCAGACATTCCCCTTTGACATCACTTCCTGTTAATTCACACACAAATATCTCAACAACTGTTCATCTCAGCAGCGTGAAATTCATTTTGTAGTATATTGTTATCATTCCAAAAATATGTTTATATTTTATTTAAAAAACTGATGTGATGGGTACTTTAAAGGAAAAAACTAAATATGCAAACGGGATGAAAAAAAGACTCAAAATGGTTCATAATAAAAGTCTTTGGAAAAACGTGTGATTAAATGCATCTAACCCTTTTAGGTGCTTTTAGCTAAACACAAAAGCAGAAAAAGAAATGGAAAGTGTCTGAATAAACTAAATGCAAACAAACAATAAAACTATTTAGACTATTTGGCTCAATATATTTGCCCTAAAGTTGAACAAAAAAAAAAATCCTTGAAGTTTTTTAACAACTTGCACACCTTCATTTCAGTGTAAAACCTAAAACTGAACTCACAGAATTTTTTTTTTCTTTTTTTAAAAAAAAAACCATGAGGTCAGAGAACAAAGCAGCTGCAGCACGCAGCTAAGTTCTTGTTAAACCCAGTGAGTCACCATCAAGGAATAAATACAGCTTAGAGATCTGCCAACAGCGGCGTTTCGTTTCCACCCTGAAATGTAATTAAGTCGCCCAATATCTGGTTGTCGCCCTGTTGTATCATTACCCTCTCTGCATCATTTCAAAGTACGTATTATTTAGTGCTCACTAAATATAACTGTCCTCGGGCCACTAAAGTGATCCCACTCTGCAGCTGTGGGCTGCTACATCCCAATCAGCTCCCACTCTAACCTCAGTCAGTCAAAAAGACTTGAATAAATAACATGCCATTCACATTTTTACCCCCATTTCTTTAAGATTTACTCCTCTGGCTCTGACTGACAGTCAGGTTTTAAACAGGAAGTCACGATCCAAGTTTGTTTTTCTGTCAGCCGGAGACGTCACTGTAACACTGAGCCCTCCAGTCAATTAATATAAGCCTTTTAAGCCTGCAGATTTAATGAAGCTGAGTGGGARTTGGTAACTTTTACTGATTATTTTTAGATTATCGTGTATTTTTTCTTAAACACATAAATGTGGGATTAGATTTTTAAATGACATGCTGCTAAAATGATGCCTTAAAGCTCCAAACTTTTAATCCTAACATCACTACAAGTTTTTATTTATTTTATTTTATTTTTATGATGGACACAAACCTAAAACTGCTTTGAGTATTTTGAACTTTTTTTTTTTACTGGAACATCTAGTGCAGAATTCAATATTGTATTTTTTAAAGCAACTATCCTGCATGTTTTGAGTGTTCCTCTGATCCAACATACCTGATTCAATGGTTTAATTACGATCTCATGAATAATACGACCCCTCCCCCCACCCCCGAGCTTAAAAAGCATAAAAAAATTAATCCTCAAACTACCTCCAATTTCAKACAGACTTAAAGATTTTTCAGCCTTTGCAGTCTTTATACATATCAGTAAAATGATAATTGGACTGTTCATTTTATTTTAACAACATATGTACTAAAAGGTATTTTGACAACAAATATATATCAGCTGTAGCAGCAT